GAGAAACTGTGAGGCAAATATTTCAGAATGTCCCCAAGTATTTACAAAGCTCGTATTGTAATGCCAGCGATATTGAGAGTTTTCCCGGATGCCCACCATGACATGGGGGAAAGGCACCAGGATGGTCCCAGGTCTGACCCTAATGAGCCATGAGGCCTCGTGGAGATAGAGTCACCTCCCTGGGCCTCAGTTTCCCCTTCTGTAAAGTGAGTAACTTGGACTCTATTTAGACCCTCCAGCTCTTAAGATTTTATTAGTCTGTGAGTCCATGGACCAGAAGTTCAAAAGTGGTGATGCTGCCTCATAAAATGGCAAAGATTTGGGTCCTAGAATCTGTGACTCTGTTAGCAGGACCCAGAGACCTGCTCTGGCACTTTTTGACTTTGTGGTTTTAATCCACCTCCTTGAATTGCCTGCTCTGACTCAGTCCCTTCCACCTGAAACCTTGCTCCACCACCCAGAATTCCATTTAACTCCACAAATGTTGACTGAAGACTTACTGTATTCCCACCGCATGGCTATAGAGATGATTAGTTTCCCACGTTGGGGAGTTCACAGTGAGATATGAGGTCAAGACTTGCCAGAACTTCGTTTCTCCGTAAATCTCTCTAGCTCCTAAACTAGTGGTTTCTCAGAGTGTGGTCCTTGGACCAGTGGCATCAACTTCACCCAGGAGCTTGCTAGAAATGCACATTTTCAAGTGCCAGCCTAGACCTACAGAATCAGAAACTCTGGAAGTGAGGCCCACTGACCTTAATTTTTAACAGGTCTTCCTGGGAGCTGGGAGGCACCTCGAGTTTGAGAACCACTGAACTGGCCCTTTCAGGGACAAGCTGCAGAGCTGTGGTTCTGAGCTCTCAAGGGACCCGAGGAGACATCCTGAAGAAACTCAGTCACTTGGGCTGCGAGGACTCGTCGTTTTCAACTCACAATCACTGCTCTCTGGAGGTTCCCTCCAACTCTATTTTGGACCTTTGTGGTGTTTTTGTAAATGCCAGGCATTGTGGAAACCCCCCATTTGTTTTGATGGGAACTAATCCAGTTGAGCACATAATTGCCCACGGAACTTCCAGGCTTCCCTTTAAATTGACTGTGATGCTTCCTGGGATGCTGACACCATGACTAAGACCCACAGTAAGAATCCCAGTCCCAGAGGACCCCCTGCTTCCAAAGATTCCCAGAGGAGGACAGTTCTTAGGGAGCCAGTCTGCAGACTCTATCCCTCTCTCCCTTCCAAGGAGTCTTGCATTCATATCCTCCTCCGTGGCAGGGTCTGGGCTGGTTCCGGTCCTCCTGAGCAGGTGGAGATCATTGGGTCACATTCTCCCTGCATGAAGTTCCGACTGAAATGGGGGGCAGGTGTGGCTCCTGGAGTGGCCTCAGTCCTGGCCCTTGTCCTCTGTCCTGGGACCCGCAGGTCTGTGATGCTATGCTCTGGCCCGGGACCATGTGCTAGACCATAGACATCTCTGTGAAAATTAGAGAAAGGCACTCCCTCCAGGTGCCTCTCAGGGTGGACGCAGCCCCTGGGGCTCAGGGCTAGCCTGGATTTCAGGCCGCTCGCTTCCCTGGGCAGGTGCCTGTGTGCAGCACAAACTACACAGCAGCAGCAGCCCTGCCCCTCCCCAGCCTGGGCCTAGGAAGGTGTGGACTGTGGGGCAGTGTGGGCCGAGCAGAGCCTGCATGTGCAGCTCCCACATATTGGGGGTTTCCACATGCTGGGCCCAAGGCTAAGCTCTTTTACCCACAGCATTTCCTCAGATCCTCACAACCACCCGGTGAGGTGGGTGTTGGTGTTGTCTCCATATAGGTTTTCTTTTTCTAAATTATAAGAGATTTTCAAACTCTCAGTGCCTTCACGTTCTCATCTGTCCAATGGGTACGGTACTCCTAGCTCTCTTCTTAAGAGCTTAATCTGGAAATCAAATGAGACCATAGTGATGAAAGCTCTCTGGAGCAAAGATGTTCAAACACCCTGCAGATGTCAGGGTTGATGTTGATCTTATCCCTGCGTCCTCAAAGGCAGTTTCTGGGAGCTCTGGTTTGAGAAACTCACCTTGAATTCACCCAGCCTCCAGTGTTATATGTGGGTGCCCCAGAAGGTTGGCTTTCTGCCATGATGCTGGCATGCGGGCGTGCTTCCTCCCCGAAAATTGTTAGACCTGTGAGACTGCGATGGATGAGGTGTGTGTGCAGGTGCTCAGGGGCGAGTCACGACCTGGCAGGCCCGCGGGGGTGGGATGACCTCACCCGCCTTTCCCACTTCTCATTTCAATGACTGGGTTCACTCCTTCCTTTCTGGTTTTTTCTCCCTCTTTCTTGCAGCTGCAGTGATTGGGATTTAGGGCAAGCATCTGAGATCCCTTTTCTAATCTGTATCAGATCCGGATTTAGCAGTGGGAAGTCTGGGAAAGGGAGGGCGGGGGAGGGGCTGGAGGCCATAGATCAGAACATCTGAGAAATCCCAACAGGAACGCCCAGCCTCCACCCCGTGAGGCCAGAGGCCTCTCATCTCATCCAATCTCACCCGCTTCCGGAATGCCTTCTTGCTTGCGCGCTTGAGGAATGAGTACGGCGATAAGGGAGAGACTTCGAAGTTTGCCTTTTTCCAATGTAACTGTGCCCTTTGTTGAAATGTTTCTTGGCCAGGTACCTTCTCCATTTCCACTACTGCCCCCACCTCCCTCCCCCGACC